TAACCGAAAATTCCGTCATATGACAAATTTCACAAAAATCTAAATGATTTTTCAAATTTTTGTTCGCCATATTGGGTCCGCCATTCTGAATTTTTCAAATTTGACTTTGGATTTGACATCAGCGACCTGGAAAACTTCCAAGTATTAAGTTTAATGAGATTACACCAGTTTTTAAGAAAATCTCTCGAAAACAATAAATTTTCAAAAAATTCAATCGCCATATTGGATCCGACATTTTGAATTTTCGAAAACAATTATCAGATTCGAAATCAGCGACCTCAAAAACCCCCGAGTAACGAATTTTAGCCGATTTGGTCGATTTTTAATTTTTACGTCCGCCATATTGGATACGCCATTTCGAATGTTTAAAAACAGACATCAGATTCGAAACCAGCGACCCCAAAAACCCCCAAGTAGCGATTTCCAGCCGATTTGGTCAATTTTTTAATTTTTAATTCCGCCATATTGGATCCGCCATTTTGAATTTTCGAAAACAATTATCAGATTCGAAATCAGCGACCCCAAAAACCCCCGAGTAACGAATTTTAGCCGATTTGGTCGATTTTTAATTTTTACGTCCGCCATATTGGATACGCCATTTCGAATTTTTAAAAACAAACATCAGATTCGAAATAAGCGACCCCAAAAACCCCCAAGTAGCGATTTCCAGCCGATTTGGTCAATTTTTTAATTTTTAATTCCGCCATATTGGATCCGCCATTTTGAATTTTGGAAATCTGATGCCAGATTCGTGTTCAGCGACCCCAAAAACCCCCGAGTAACGATTTCCGAATGATTTCATTGCAATTTGAAGGTAATTAAAAATGATATACAGTAAAACCTCGTTAACACGAACTTGAAGGGACTGTAATTTTTGTTCGTGTAAACCGAGTGTTCGTGTTATCCGTTAAAATTAAGCCTATGTTATTTTCAAGGGACCGAAACTTTTGTTCGCGCTAAAGCGAAATTCGTGTTATCCAAGTTCGTGTTAACGAGGTTTTACTGTAAATGGTTGACGCATAAATGCGTCAGTGCCACGCTGGGCACGGAAAAATTTGACGCATAAATGCGTCAATGCCAACGAAGGGGTTAAATAGAAATATTGTGTTACATAAAACTCAGATTACTTAATTCCCATTTGACATAAAAATTATGGAACATAAATTTCTATTGACATAAAAATCATTTAACACAAATTTCTTTTGACATAAAACTCATTTAACGTAAATTTTATTTGTTATAAAATTCATTTGACATCAATTTCATTTAGCATAAATGTCATTTAACGTAATTCTCATTTGACATAAATATCATTAGACATAAAATTAGCTTGACATAAATTTCATTTGACGTGAATATCATTTAACATAATTATTATTTAACGTAAAATTAAATTTTTATAAATTTCATTTAGCATAAATGCCATTTAACATAATTCTCATTTGACATAAAATTTACTTGACATAAATTTCATTTGGTATAAATCCCATTTAACATAATTTTCATTTGACATAAAGTTCATTTGACATAAAAGACATTTAACACAATTCTCATTTGTCATAAAAGTCATTCAACAAAATTCTCATTTGACATAAAAATCATTTTACACAAATTACATTTTACATAAAAATATCGGCGCGAATTTTAAAAGTAACCAATTAGATATTATCAACAACATTGTGATTCGCCAATTTTGAAATTCGCGCCTATATTTCTATGTCAAATAATCTTTATGTAAAATGAAATCAATGACATCTGAATTTTATGTCAAATGAGAATTATGTGTAATGACTTATCCGTCAAATGAAATTGATATCAAGTGAACTTTATGTCAAATGAAAATTATGTTAAATGTGATTTATACCAAATGAAATTTATGTCAAGTATATTTTATGTCAAATGAGAATTATGTTAAATGGAATTTATGCTAAATAAAATTTATATAAATTTAATTTTACGTTCAATAATAATTATGTTAAATGATATTCACGTCAAATGAAATTTATGTCAAGCTAATTTTATGTCTAATGATATTTATGTCAAATGAGAATTACGTTAAATGACATTTATGCCAAATGAAATTGATGTCAAATGAATTTTATAACAAATAAAATTTACGTTAAATGAGTTTTATGTCAAAAGAAATTTATGTTAAATGATTTTTATGTCAATAGAAATTTATGTTACATAATTTTTATGTCAAATAGGAATTAAGTTATCTGAGTTTTATGAAACATAATATTTCTGTTCAATGAATTCTATAACAAATAATATTTATGTTAAATGGTTTTTGTGTGCAATGAAATTTATGTCAAATAATGTGCATATTATGTGAATTTTAAGATAAGTAGTTTTATATCAAATAACTATTTGGTTAAAAAAGATTTCGGGAATAAGCATGCGTATCGTAATTGATATGGTAATGACGGCTTCCTCATGCGACGCTCTTTCCAAAGATCTAGTGGACAAACTCCTAAACCGCTTCACCGATTGGACGCTGGAAACACCGCACAAGACGAAATGAAAAGCATATTTGAAAAAAGAATATTTGAAAAGCAAATTTCTACTCTGACATTATTTAAAGTTTTCTTCTATTTATGAGATGTAAATTGTGTCCCATGGTTAGACAGAATTCTTGTCGGTTTTCCTCTTTTTACAAAGTAATCGTTAATTAATTTCTTTAAGCAAGTTTTTGTATTAGCCGCTTTTATCGAATACAGAGTCGTTAATTTTGAAAATAAATCTTTAACTACAAACAAATATTTTGCTCCTGCTTGCGAGGCTGGTAACGGACCGTAGAAATCAACCGCGATCATCTCGTTCGGATTCTTAGGGATTATAGACTGAAATTTTCCCTCCATTGTAATGATTAAATGTTTAGTTCTTTGGCACAAGTCGCATGTTTTTACTCGCTTTTTTATATCGCGTTTTTGATTTTTCCAATATAAATTTTCACTTATAAATTTTGTTGTTTTCTGGATGCCTGCGTGACCGATTTGTGCATGCATTAAATCAATTATCTCATTTCTATTATTTTTCTGTATCAAGGCTCGCCATTTCGCCATTTTATGTAATTTTTAAATGGTGGAATATTATTTTATTTTTCATGTGAAAATTTTTTACTTCTCTCGCGTTTTCTAGTTCGTTATATATTTTTTCTGTATCTACACTTGTTTTTTGTAATTTCGCTAGATCTTTTATAATTGCTAATAATTGTTTTTCGTTCTTTTCTATTTTTACCATTTCTTTTTCTTTATTTTTTATTATTCTCGCCACGATTTGTTGTTTTTCGTTTTGTTCTTCATTTTTCCCAATTACTATTCTACTAAAGTAATTTGCAGCTACGTTATCTACCCCTTTACAATGACGAATTTCAAATGAAAAATTTGAAATCAGCAATGACCACCTCACCAATCTTGAATTAAAAAATTGAGTTTTTAGTAAAAATGTTAACGCTAAATGATCGGTATATATCTCAAAATGAGATCCAAAAAGATATTTTTAAAACTTAATTAATCCCGATAATATTGCTAACAATTTAATCTCGGTTACTGTATAATTTTTTTCGTGCGTTGTTAAGCATCTACTAACAATTGCAATAATTTTTTCACATCCATCATCATCGAGTTAAAACAAAATCGCGCTTATTCCTTTCTTGCTCGCGTCTGTTTGAAGGCAAAAGGGTTTTTTTAAGTCATAATGTGCTAATGGAACCGTTTTTAGAAAATTCTCTTTTAGTTCTTTAAGAAACTTATCGTGTATTGGTTCCCATTTAAATTTATTTTTTGCGCTTGATAAATCACGAAAAGGGTCAATGAAATTTGGGTGAGTTTTTACAAATCTTCTATAATAACCGCACATCCCCATTATTCCCTGAAGTTCCGCGCGATTTTTCGGAGCTGGAATTTCTGATATCGCTTTCAGTTTGTCTGGATCTGGTTTTAGTGCTTAAGGAGTCAAAATAAATCCCAAAAATTTTACCTCTCTTTTACACAAGAACGATTTGTTTAGTGTTATCGTCAATCCCAATTTTTCAATTTTTTAAAAAATTATTTCGAGATGTAAATGTTCATCAAAATTTCGCGATGTCAATAATATGTCATCATCATATACTGTGCAAAATTCGCTAACTTCATCGTCAAACACTTTATTTAACGCCCTAACAAATCCGTTGCTTGCGGTTTTTATTCCGAATGGGATTCTACAAAATTGATAAGACTTTCCTTCGAACGAGAAAATGCGTCTGATTTCTTTATTTACGTCAATTGTGTCGCAAGTTTGAATCGGTATATTAATTATTTTGTCAATTTTATTTTTTTGATTATTACATTTATCTATTCTCGCGGATTTCGATTCTTCGTATTCATTTTTTCTTTCCCTTTTGTTTATCAAATTTATTTCACTTTCCCTTATCTCTTTTATATTATTAATTTTATTTTCGAGTTTATTCACTTTTATTTCTTCGTTAGATTTTAATTTACTATTTTCTTGTCTTTGCATGAATGTTACTGAGTGTTTTCGAAATGTTTGGTTGTTTATTATTACCGTATTATCAGAATATTTAATATCGACTTTATTTTCGCCACACCAGTTCGTTCCGAAAACAAATTCAAAATTTAACCTTGGTACCACCAGAAATGTTGACAAAAATTCTTGTTTCTCAACTTTAAATTTAATCATTATTTGCTTTTTAATAATGTACGATTTTCCCCCAAATGCACTTAATAATTTTATATTTGAAACTGGTAATGTTAACAATTTTGACGGATCCAATTTATGAAAAATTTCCTCGGAAATACAATCGACTTCAGATCCCGTATCAATTATAGCCTTGCTTTTATTTTGTTCAAATTCGATATTAATTATGGAACATTTATATTTTATCAATTTATTATCAAATACTGTTTTCTCGCAATTTTTTCCTTCAATATCAAATGCCAGGTCCTCAAAAATACTACCTGTCCAACGACATATAAAGGGACCTTTTTTACAGTCGTTGATTAATTTAAATCGCTTTTATTAAGAATTTCGTCTATCTCTAAATTAGTATCGTCATTTGTATTATCGTTGTCTTCGTTATTTTCGTTTTGTATTGCTGCCACTCTATGACCTTTGTCATTTGTCCTCCCGTGTTTATATTCTTTTTGATTTTGCCTATAAGAATTATCATTTCGATAGCAATTTTCATTTTCATGCCTACTAAATTTTCTGTCTTCTGTTCTCCAATTATCTACATTTTTCTTTTCGTATTCCATTTTATTTTCACGGTGTCTCCAATTTTGTTTTGATTGATCCGGCTTATCGGTATTTCTTTCTTTATCATTTTTATACGCGTTTTTCTCGCACCCGTTTCTTTCGCGATTTTCTCTGTCTCTTTCTCTCTCGCATTTATAATTCGTATGATAATTTGTTTTTTCATTTCTATCATATGATTTATTATTTCTTTGATCATTATCGCGGTCCCATTTAATTTCACGAGTTCGATTACTATATCCGTTTTCCCCTCTCTCCGTTCTGTCGAGCCATGCGAGGGTTCTCACTACTTTATTCGTATCCGACAAGTCTACTGCTGCCATAACATCTTGCACTTTTCGCGGTAATTGTCTAATAATTAAAAAATTTCTGGAATAATCGGCTAAAGGTGGCTCTAAATAACTAACTTGTTGGTAAAAGTAATTAACAAATGTCTTATCCATTCTTCCGAACCGTCTGTCTCTCCAAACATTCGTCATCTCGGTGCGAAACTCGATCGAAAAAAATTCTAATAGAAAATCTTCTTCGAATTGTGCAAAACTTCCCCATTTATTATTATTTGACATAAACCAAGACTTTGCCCTTCCTTTTAATGCCGTTTTAATAATCAAAGATTCACATTCATTAGGAACGTTTTTTATCTTTATATACTGTTTTATATTATCTAAAAATTTAATCGGATTATCTTGATATTGGTCATAAAATTGTGGAATCACCATATCAATATTTGTCACATTTTTTGCTTTATTATTAAAACCGTTAGCTTTACTAGTTTGCGAATTACTCAAATTAACAAACGCGTCTTTAATTGTCGTCATCATATTATTTAGTTGTGTTAATATATTATTGGGATCTCCGTTATTATCATAATAATTATATTTTTTGTCTTCGCTATAATTCCCGAAATTTTCGTTCGATGAACCTCTCGCGGATTCTAAACTATCGTTGAGCGCCATTTGTGATTCGCTTAATAAACGGTACAAAATTTGATTATGTTGAGTCATTGTACAAAATTTATTAATAATTGATGTTTCTAAATTCTCTTACAAAATTGAATAACATCCAACGAATTCTACTTTTTCTTTTTTGTATTAAATTAAGATAAATCCTCTGCCGCAGCAATTTCTTATCGTTTATTTATCGGCTAATTTATTATCTTTTATTCTTACACGCACGCAACAACAAACTATAACGAATAAAATGATAATGAATTAAAATTCGAAACTGCCTCAACAAACATTCACTTAATATAAATACAATCTTCCAAACATACACGAATACAAATTCAATTAAAAAACTGACACAATAGATATAATGCGCATTTCTCACAATAACTTGGGCCCTTAATCTCTCCTGAGATTTTCTATTCAAAAATGATACTCCAGACAATCTTTAGTCAATGGTCCTCGGGCGTCCCCGAATATTCCTCTCCTCTAGAAGACAGGTTAAACGTGGCTAATTTCGATGCAGTGATCCACAGGAATTATAACCAGGCTTTGTTTTATAAGAGCCTGCACAAATAACAATTATAGATTTATAGTTAAATTATATCAAAACAATTCAATTACTATTATATATTTATGACCGGTCTCCCGGGCTTACCGGTCGGTTCTCTCCTTTCGTGTAGGTCGCTAAAATTCCTCGATTCGTCTTCCCACCAGAAAACTTTCGGGTCAGGGGTGAATTTTAATTAATTGGGCCCCGTGATTTATATGGCCCATTACAAATATATGAATAAAAATAATTGCTTATAATGAATAAACACGTTGTACTTTTTAAAACATTAATACTTGAAGTCGATTTATCGCATTTATGAGAAATAAAAAACAAATTTTTAGGTTAGACACTTGTGAATTGACTGTCCAGGGATGGCAACTATGTAACACGAAACATGCGAAACACAAAAAAAGTAACGGCGCAACGCGCAGAAGACATTTTCTACAGTTGTTGCCAACATAACACACAAAAAAAACTAGAACCTGACATTTTTTTCATTTTGAGTCACTTGAAGTTGTCTATTACTCATTTAGAGACCGACTTCCAAATGCATTGCAACAAAAGTGAGACGGGTTTTTTTCTGTGAAAGTGTTTGAATGAAATTTCAAATATTTTTGTATACCCAAATCATTTAAATATTTATATGAAAAATCAAAACTGATTATATTGTGTTCTGATATGTTATAATAAAAGTAAATTAACAAAAAAAGTTCTATTAGAATTTTTACGGAATTGCGACACCACGATTTGAACCCTTAGTCGTCTATAGTGTTGTCTCCCTGCTGGAAGTAAAGGGATAGAAATCCTATCTCTTTGAATATTTTTTTATCTCTGAGATAGAAAGAGATAAACTTTCTCTATCTTAGTCTATCCCCACTTTATCACTTCAATCACTTTTTATCTCTCCTTCTGTATAAATCTTTTTCAATAACATTTATTTCATCTCTTTTAATACTTTCAATATCCACACCTATCTCTTTCTATCTCTAATTTCATCTAAGAATATACTTATCTCTTTTAATAATCTTGTTTCTATCCCAGGCTATCCGTTTTTTATTCTCTCAATCTCTTTCTATCTTCCCTTTTTATTCAATCTTTTTTAATAACCCTTACTTTATCGCCTTTTATCCTCTTACTATTCACTTCTTTCCCTTTCTATCCCTATTTAAATCTTAGTCCATACTTGTCTCCTTTTATTCCTTCGGTTCTATCAGAGTCTATCTCTTTTCTATTAAATTAAAAAAATTCGATTTTCTCTTTTTTCTTAATCTTTTTCAATAACCTTCATTATATCCCATTGAATCCTTTTTCAATCCCCAAAGATAACTTTTTATACCCTTTTCAATGTGACGTTTTCGTGATAAATAAAGAGAAATTAAAACTTTTAAAAGGAGATCAACTGAGAGATAAAGAGTGATAGAGTAAGAGATAAAAAGAGATCAATACAGTCCCAAAATTTAAAAGGTAGTTCAAGAAAAATATCTTCCAAGCTAGCGTGGCTGAGTGATATGTGTATTCGACTTGCGTCCCTAAGGTTCAGGGGTCGAGCCTTCCTGCGTGCGAGATTTTTCAAATTTGGTTTTAAGTGTTATGTGTACAATGTTGGTTAATAATGTGAAATGAAATATAGATTTAAACAATAAATAATAATTTCATAACAAATAAATAAATAACTTGATTTGCTAAAAATAGGTTATAAATAGAAGTACGAAAATTATAAAAATATTTTTTTTTAATAATAAATTCAATTGAAATTGTAATACTTCATAAAGTCTTTAATATTGTTAATAATATTGGTTAATTAATTCTTTATATATTAAAAAGGATAAAAATTTGCAGCAAAGAGAAATAAAAAGAGATAAAAGTACATAGGTATAAAAAGAGATAGATAGGGGATAATAGGGTATAAAAAGAGATAGAGTAGATAAAAAGGTATAATATTTTGGGTATGCAAAGTGGCTATTTCAAAGGGATAGAAAAAACTTTATCTCTTTCTATCCCCAAAATTCTATCTCTTTCTATCTTTTTACTTCCAGTAGGGCTGTGTATAGTGTGTCTTGTATGGAGCTATCAACCTTTGGGAGCTGCGCCTAGACGCGCTTGACCAAGGGAGGCTATGAAAATCTCTTGCAAAGAATCAGTTGTAAGAAACATGTGGACCATACCCTGTTTTATGACTTCTTTTAAATTTCTAAAGATTCAATATCTTCAACATTTTTCACCAACCGACTCATACTATTTTTTAATTTTTTTTTCTTCATGTTTCTGTTAAATTTATGATATGTATTAGGTATGTTCTCGTTGCCTGCACTTCTTACACTTTAACACCTAACCTGCACTATGCTGTTCTCTTTGCCGGATGTGACGCAATTTTACCATACATTTCGCTACACTTTCTGCACCTACTCTTGAGGTGGTGTAAAAGTTACACTTAGTGCAGGCAACGAAAACATACCTATTAAGATGTTTGAGAAATATCTAAAAAATACTTTAAACACAGAAAATTTTTTATGGATAAACATTTTTCTATTTAATTTAGCAGTTTTTAAATTTTTATCAGTCAAAAATATCTAACTATAGGGGAGACTGGGGTAAACCCGCTCACTTTTTTCAGATCGGTAAAAATCTAGGAAATTATTCTCTAAATCCAGGTTAATTTATATCATTTGAAAGCTTATAATTTCTACTAAAAAATAAAAAAAAGTTTTTGATTTATCTTTTTTAGTTTTAATGTAGGAAATTATATTTTTAGTTTTACTTAGAGAAACTTTTTAATACACATATACCAAATTTAGAAATCACAATTTTCCAGGGTAAATCCGCTCACTTTATCTTTTCAAGACGGAACAGTTTTATTTTTCAAATATTAAAATTCGTCTCATTCCCGTCTTAAGAACGTTCGATGGTCTCTGAAATTTGTAGGTTATGTGTGACTTACAGTTATCGCCCAAGAAAAACGGCACTGCCTGTTTGAAATGACGTGAAATTGGTAAACGTTCATTTTCTAACAAATTTTTCTCTGTTCACAGGCACTTTTTACAGAATCTGACAACGTACATTTGTAACAAATGTTTTTAATTGTCTGAATTCAAAAGATTCTGTTAATCCCTGCAGAAACGCGGTTGCAGGATTAAAAATACAAAAGTAATGTTATGGCAGACGTCAAGACGTATGTTACAGCCCATTTGCCAGTAGAGGGTACACTGAAAAAAATTCTGTGTCGCTACCTTACCTACGAATGTCGCTACCACACAGATCAGATGGTAAGTACTATCCCGATTTCGGAAGGAGGATTAGCTCTCAAGGGAACACTACCTCACCACGAGAGAAGGCTACAACACTGGTTTTTCGTCCAATCAGCGACCCCGAATTGAGAGATCATAGCGCGTCACAGCTGGCACGCATATACACCGAACTAAAATCTCAGCGTGCTCAATACGAGGTTGCACCAATATCGAGATATCGGTATGACAGCCTCCCATCTATTCGGGAAGGCTACCTGCTCTCGAGATTCGTTGACGTACCCGAAAACCGAAGGGCAGAGCACTCCAGACAAGAGAATGTAGCGCCATTACCACACATGTGGCAGCCACACAGAATTTTTTTCAGTCTAGAAGCATGCAGGGAGCGTAAAGGCTTAGCTGTCAAAATGATTCGCATTACATTGCTACAGTAATTCCAATGCTGCAACCGCGTTTCTACACAGATTGACAAAATCTTTTGAATTCAGACAATTAAAAACATTTGTGATAAATGTACGTTGTCATATTTTGTAAAAAGTGCCTGTGAACAGAAAAAAATATGTTAGAAAATGAATATTTACCAATTTTACGTCATTTAAACCGGTCAGTGCCGTATTTGTTGGGTGATAACTGTTGGTCGCACATTATCGAAAAATTTAAGAGACCATCGAACACCGTTAAGTATGATTTATTATTGATAAACTATAAGTCCTATAAACAATTCTATAAACAACAAATTCGTTTAATAAATAATGAATATAGGATTCATGAATTACAACTATGGATTTAAATAATGTTTTATTTTAATAATAGTATTTAGAGGCCTTTTACGGTTAAAGATGTTCTTTTATTACATAAATTGTATAAATTGCTACAACCCAGATAGCAAAATTCTTGGGTTATGGTCAGCCCAGAGCTAGCTCGTGGTCCGATTGATAGGACCGAGCGACAGGCTAGAACGCAGGCACTTGTGCGTGCCATTGTTAGCCATAAGACTAGCCCCTGTTGAAAGGCACCCGCGTGCCTGCAGGCTGCACGCCATACATTTCTAATTTTTACATTTTCATCACATTAGAAAGTATTAGTTTTGGTAGAAAATTGACTTTCGCTAATTTCATAAAATCTCGACGTTTTGGGGTCCCCTGAGTCCGAAAAACATGGTCTAAAAAATGTGTCTGTCTGTAGACACAATGGTGTCGCCACGATAACTTTTGAAAAACTTTCTGTATCAATTTGCAACTTTGCAAGTACAAAGTTACTGTTAA